ATACACAAAGGCGAGCAGCAAATTCCGACCGAATCATAACTACTTGGTATTCCTATATAATCGAGCCGTCCCACCATAGACAGAGTATTAACCTTTTTTTATTTATTGCCTACTATAATTTTTAATGGTAGGGTATCATGTGAAATACAACTAAGATAATGTTGAGATATTGGCAAAACACCGGACAGCAGGTGTCTGCAGTGGGGAACAAACACGCTATTGTCCTTTCGAGGAGTAACGCGTTAACCACCACACCAGACGGATCCTTCGTTTCGCCTGTCTTTCAGCTAGTTCTATTGATCGGTGCCATCAGAAATCACCCGTCAACGGGGCTGACCTAGGGAGCCAAAGTCGGCAACGAACCTAGTTAAGCTGAGGCTGAAGTTGAAATCACAATCTTAACCTTTGTTCTATTTACTGCCTACTATAACTTTCAACGGCAGAGCATCATGTGAAACATAGCGCGTTCGTTCCCCACCGCAGACACCTGCGGTCCGCAGTTTTGCCAATATCTCATCATTATCTTAGAGACAGAGTAGTCTAAAATTATAATGATTAACAAGCCTCTAAAAGTAACTTTCTATTGTATATCTTGAGAAACCGATAGTAATTATCAAACATAGAAATTACGAAGTATCCTAATAACAAGACATTTGTACGTACCGCACATTACATGAATTAAAGATGCGGTCTTCGTGAATTCGACTGAATGGGTGACAAGAATGACTGTCTTTTTCGCAAGAAGACCATCTGGACCGAATAACTGAACCATGCAGAATATATTCATTGAATCACATCAGGCTTTCTATTACATTCTTAATAATGTCTTCAAATCGCAAAAAAATTTTTTAAATTCTTTGTATTCCAGGTTAGATCAATAGCATGCAGAATCAGGAGTCATAAAGGTCGTTGATTGCTTGTCTAACCTATATAATGACCTGTCGTGGCTTGCTGGTGTACCGAGACAGTGTTTTTATTCGCCCAGACAAGTTTGGTACCAATACATCGACCGCGGAATGCTGGGAGCAATAGGTGCCCTGCAGCCCAGAGAACGAAACCATGAGCGTGTTTGTGTTGCAGGGCACCTCTGACCACTAAGCTATAGCCACCCTTTTCTAATTTTTAATGACTGCTCAAAAAACAATTGATTTGTTATCTTTTATAGTGAAAATGGATGCAAACCTTTTCGTACATACTGCCTGCGATTGTGGCGTCAACTGCAGAAAATGGCTCATCTAATAAGTATATGTCACAGTCCTAAAGAAATTTTCATAAACTTACTTTTAATCAAACGGTAGAAACTATAAAATATGAAATAAATCTCAAAACACTTGAACTGGTCTTAGTGCTGGTGGGATGTATAATTGCACTTTGTTACCGAAAATTTGATGGGTGAGTGTAGCACAGCGATTAGAGGGTGCCCTGCGAAACGCACTGGGTCGATAGCTGGTTCGATTTCCGGGCTCCGAGCTAACCAAAGTCGATTGCGTGGGACATCACTCAGTGATTGAACTATGTCGAAAGCCTTTTCTTTCCTATTAACAAAATTTAGACTGCCTGTAATCCAAATTCCAAATAGTACTTTTTACACTTGTTTATAGCGCATTAGTCGAAATCACATAGGATTGCACCATTTCTTGAAGTCGACTTGTTTCCTAACATGCGTAATCAACAAAGGTCCGCGAAATTTTGTTTTCAGCAGTTCTCTAAGGTTTTTAATCTCCTTTGTGAACGTTGTTAGATGCTAGCTTAGCCGATTGTTTTCAAAATTCTGGCATAGCGGTGCCTAGGAAGTTTTCAGGCCTTCACCATAACCATCCACCTGCCTTTGTGCATCGCAGCAAGCTCTTCCAAGTCTAGTAGTCCTGTACCAATTTCCTTACATAGCAGGGAAAGGTTTGATTGGCGCTGGAACGAAATCGTATCAAGAATTTACGCGTAATGAACGGGTCAACCATAAGCCTAACCGCGTGCTATCCAAAATTATTCAATTATTGAAGAAAAAAAACCACGATATTTAAGAACTCGCAACACCTGGTAGAGTGCTCTTGCCAGACAGATGCGCGCTCGTTGACCTCCGGACAATGATGCTCCCTAAAGTTACTAAGCAGATTTAAAAAACTCGTCGCATCGAAATCAGTTGTTTTCAACAATTTATTCACCACTTTAATTATTTGGAACCTAACAGGCATATTTACTTCACGTAATAAAAAGCTATAAGAACAGTGAAAAATTACTGAGAAAATTCAACTTGGCTCTCTCTTCGACCTCTTCATTTCAAATAGACCGTATTGTTATGCGTTTTTATATTCAATATAGTCACATGTTCTCTTACGCAGATAATAGGTAAAATAACGGAAGCGAAAAAAAAACCCTCATTAATATGCAAAACAGTGGAGGAATAAAGGGAGAACAGAAAAGAAAAGTCCTACATTCTCTCCGACAACGGTTGCATCTGATCGTGGTAATGTAAAGATGTCCTTTTTCAGTTCACAAGCTCTCAAAATCTGCAAAATGTCATCGACATCGAAAATCAGCTCCTATAAAGCAGGTCCTTCATCTTCAAAACATTTCTACACGACAATTTCCGATTGAAGATCATCTAATCTTTCCTTAGACTTTGAAACTTAGCAGAAATGTATACGCAATTTCAAAGTATAAATTTATTTAGAAAAGTTTTGGAAAGAATGAAAATAAAGCTTTCGGCGTTGATCAATTCATGAGGAATGCGTCATGCATTCTACTTCATTAGGTATCGTTGGAGGCGACTGAATGTGTACCTGGCCCTTATAATGACTCATAGTGGCGTACCGGTATATCGACCCAGTGCTGCTATCCTCCCAGACAGTCTGGTACCAATTTGTCGACCCCGGAGGGATGGAAGGCTAGGTGGGCCACAGGCGGAGGATCGATCCCATGTGTGTGTTGCAGGGCGCATCCGACCACTGCGTCACACGCGCCCTTAATTTCAGGAAGGGAGGAGAAAATATAGGTTTCAATATAGGTTTTTTTTTCATTTCAATGGTCTTTTAGGTAGCATTTTCCTTTTCATATCACTAGAAATATCAGTGAGTTTTCCACATTTCTCCGTCGCTATTGGCCTAACCTCGTCGGTAAAAGTTCACAATTTAAATATAATATAGTTGTTTTCTTTACAGAAAAACCTATCACATGCCCTACACCTTTATTTACTAGAGTAGGAAATAGCGAAGAAGCATGTAAGGATATGAATAAATAACACATATTTAGTCAGAATACTATATTATACTGTTTAAAAACTCACAAATAGATACCCATTTACTATGGTTTAAAAAAGTGCCGCTATTGCGCCTTCAAGACCCAAAGGCAATCTGTCACTAGCCGATCTTCTCAAACCGTTTTGAACAATTTCCAAAGTTTGTCGTAAGCAAAACTTACCTTGTCATATTTATTTTTGTTGTATTCCAACCCATATAAAATATTCGCCCTCACAGTATCGTTGAGTATCCACGAGGTTTGCGAGACGTAAGCAATAGTACCGTTAACTTTTCGATAACCTTCCAAGAGATTCATTTCACCTGAAAGGTCACTCACAAAGTTTCGCCTTATTTATATTTTTATTATTCAAATTTTAATATTTTTTGCAGTCTTGGTTACAATGTTTTTACTAACAGTAACTTTCCAAAGAGTTTTGAAGTGTCCAAAAGGAATTGTTTAAAAAATAAAGCTGGAACAGCTTAAATATGTCTCATTTCAAGTAACCACGTTTCTCAAAACAAAAAATCTCCAAATAGCAGACTTGCGGACGCTATGTTTTCATAAGTGGACATAAAGATGTTGTAGTATTTAGCAATAGGCTTTTCGTAAATCATTTGCTAAGACTTCTGGCGATAACACCTTTCCAGAGGTTCCGCGGAACATCCTGCTTTGTATTCACTGGGAACGTTGGTCATCACTCCAAAAGAAGGTGATGGTTCAAACAGTTTGAATTTGATGAGGAACGCACTTAGTATACTTCGTGGCGTTATTGGCAGTCATTGAAACAACCTTATTTACTGTACATGGATCCTCACCACCTTATTAATGATCGATATCATGTCAATTTCTACAAATGGCTGCTAGCCACCCACTCAGAGCGGAGCCACTGAAGGAAACCGTGAAGACAGGAGCAGAGTAGTTTGCACGAAAAGAAGTGTATGAATGACATCATAGGTCCAAAGAGAAGGTCCCTTTATAATATTGAAAGGACTTCAAGTGACAACTAGTGTAAACACCGACCAAATTGAAAAGTTGTATGATATCATTCAAAGGCCTCCTTTTGAAAGAACATACGTTTTAAAGTCGAGTCATCAAACAATTATAGAATGGCTGAAAAGTTTTGTTCCACTTGAGTAAAATGATTGCTGTATCGATTCCATCGCTTTTTAGATCTCTAGAGAAAATTACAAGAGGGAAATTGTTTCATATAACGCGGTACAAGATATGCGATGCGAGCACTTCTTGCATCCGATTCGTTTCTGACTTCCACAAACCTTTTCAAATTTCTCTCTGGGTTTGCATGTTGGTTGAGGATTTTTGTTCTTCTTTGTGAATGTTGTTAACCCCTATTTGAGTCGATTCTGATTAAAATTCCAGAATAACTTTACTAGAGCATCCCTATATCTTAACCAAAGTAGACTTTTTGAAACAAGGGAGCCTTTCCCAAGAAATTCTAGCACCATTTAGCTCCAACCCAGGAGGGTTGATACTGTTGGATGACATGTGGCGAGGCCAAACAAGGGTTATTGAAAGACAGCTCTACCATTTCGGAAAAGTTGTTCAAGAATGTTGTTTATGAACAGAAACTTGTTGTCCACTCAAAGTATCAGCGTAGTACTCAGAAGTAAAGCAAACATGGATTCACCGAGAATTGCAGCCAGCAACGAAGATTTGCCGCAACCAACTGGTCCGACAACTGCTCGATGCTCTCCCTGTCTTACTTTCAAAGTTATCTGAAAAGCGAACGCAAGTGGGAGAAAACTGGTATATTAAAAAATGAACGTACATTTTTTAGGTGCTCTTTCTGGTTATTCCATGAAAAGTAAGCATTTTCGAGAATAATAAATATCTGAAAATCCTTTGATTCTCGTTCCTTCTTCAACTCGCTTGCTTGAAGAAAGTCGTTGATTCGCTTACTGCAGACGATTGCCTGAATAATCAGAAAAAGATCTAGTGTCACTGTAATCGGCAACATTGTGGCATTGCAAAGTGACGACTAGTAAGAACAGAAAAAAAATAGATCTGATTTGTACGACGATAAGAATCACATTGTCCCTTGAGTTCGAACTGGTACTTCACCCAGTTCAAAAATAATGAAGAAATGAGCATTTAAAATTCATGCCGAAAATTTGTTCAGAAACAAATCGGCTGTAAGAGGAAAGGTTAGAGGATAATGTATAAGGTTCATGGTGCTGAGCAATGGAGTTGCCTTATCAAAATTCCAGAAAACCAATCAATTGAGAGCTTGAATGGGCTTCAGAGCTTTTACTGACTTCGTCTCGATGATGGGCGAATAACTGTTTCTATCAGACAAAGAATCTGATGAAAACGGATTAAAAAGGATAAAAAGCTGGGCGTTGATCAATCCGTGAGGGATCCGCCATGCATTCGTCCTCACTTAATACCGTTGGAGGTGACTCAATGCATATCTGGCCTTTACAATGATTCGCGGTGACCTACCGGTGTATCGACCCAGGGCTGCTATCCTCTCAGACAAGTCTGGTGCCAATTTGCAGAACCAGAGAGATGGAAGGCTTGGTGAGCCACGGGCCTGGTAATCGATTCCATGTGTGTGTCACAGGGCGCCTCCGACCGCTACGCCACACGCGGTAGGATTAATGAGTGTAGGAATGAGTGAAACGCATTACTCTTTACTGACAGAGGTTCTCATGAATTGTTCACTTATATCGTGGTAATTGTCAAATACTTCAATGTTTCTATTCCTTTACAAAATGTTCATGCATGGTATAGCTATGTCTCATCTTCGTTCTTTCGTTTTGTCTTCAATACGTTTCATAATTTTATGTCAGGATACAAATATCTATCTTTGTTCTTCGTGTTCATTTAGTGTGTACCTTAGAGATAAATTGAATAGCAGGAGCGATGAGACTCATCGGACGGCGAAGTTGATTGAAGACGGTCAAAGCAACAAACGCAATCGATGGCTCCAGAATGTTCTTCGACGACGAGAGCACGAACCAAGAAAAACATGCGATCGCCACCTAAAATTCAAATCGTTCTTGGTGCTTTAACGTTTAATGGTCAATGAATTCCCAGACTATGCTCAGATTTCGTCATGTCATGGATACGACATTTTTATAGAATCATGCTAATAATTGCTAATTTCAAACAAACTTCGGCACCTAAAAAAATTCTAACACTTGACACTTGAATGGCACGCCCTCACTGGTTGTGCGGACCCCAGCATAATCTCCATTCTTCGGAGATTTGCTGGTTAAGCCATTGTGGTTTTCTGGAGTCCGGAGGTCAGCTTGGCCACAGTCTGCTCTAGGTCTTCACCGCGTCTGGCAGTCGCAGCCTTTATGGTTCAGAGGGATATTTGCCACCACGCCACTTTGATACCAGAACAGTGGTGGATCCTGGTATTGGTTTACGCTCTGCTGGGCTTCCTGATGAAAATGCCGGATTTCTTCTCAGCTTGGGAAACCTTACTGGGTGATGAATCCTCCGCTGTATATCACAGTCCGACACCCAGGAACACCTCCCAGCCACGATGAGGCGGTGAACCGTTGGGAGAACCTACAAAAATCTGGTAGTAGTAATACCAGTTCAGTTACCGAATTTCCATAACTTTGTGGCCCTTAGATGCAGTTTTATAGATATCCTCAAGACCTTACTACCGTCAAAGAAGAAGCAGGGGAAGAATGACACTATGTTGGCAAGGCCTTGCATTTTGGCAATCTGATGAATGAGGCCACCCCAACGGCTTACCTCCTCATCGTGACTGGCAAGTGTTCCCGGGTGTCGGACTGCGATGTACAGCGAGAGATTCGTCTCCCCGGCAGGGTCTCCCAAACTGAGAAGGAGCCTGGCGTTTCCATCAGGAAGCCTAGCTAAGAGTAAACCAATACCAGGATCCACCACCGTCCTGGTATCAAAGTCTCATGGTGGCAAATCTCCCTCTTATCCACAAGGACTGCGACTGCCTGTGGCGGTAAGACCTGGGGCAGACTTTGCCAAGGCTAATCTCAGGACTCCAAGAAACCATAATGGCTTAACCAGCAAGTCTATGAACAATGGTGATTATGCTGGGGCACGCTCAACTAGTGAGGATGGGCCGTTCAAGTATCAAGTATCAAGTAAATGAGGAAGGAGATTGAATAGGGTAAAGGGAACGTGTAACGGAAAATTCTATGAAACATCTGCCTTGCCGATGAAATCGTCACCTTTTTAAGAAATAGAAGTGGAACAGACGCAATCACCAAGTAGCTGAACAAAGCAGGACAAAGATAAGAAGTGTAAATGAACTACTTCTAAAATTCGTTTCCACAAAATTAACTCGCGTAACGTGGTCTAGACCAAAGAATAATATACCACCTACAATATTCAAAATAAATACATTTACATTTAGAGTAAAGCGCAAAGATTCGTTTTGCTGCATCGCCTTTGGTCCGCCTATCAGTTTGTCTGGTTCATTCTGCGATTGCCAATGAGGAAAAGGTCGAGAAGTCACAGCGCGATTATCAAGGGAAATTCAACGTGCAAACGTGAAAAGGTGACGATATCCGCACATTGGCTCAGTGGAGAGAGTGAAGAGAACCAGTCGAATGGCGCTGCAGCTTGTATGTCATGTGAAGAAAAGACACACAACTAAGTAAACGATGAAAGAATTGACTACTTGGTGAGGAAAAACGACCATACAAGAGTGAGGACAGTAAAGGAGACCCTAAAACCCTGAAAGAGCTTCTGGGACGACGATATAAGATGAGCAGAAATGTTTATGGCTCAATTTACCGTATTATTTACTGCCTATTCTTTTTAACGGCAAGGTATACACTGTGAAATATAACTTCAATGATGCTGAGATATTTGCAAAACTCCGGACCGCAGGGGTATGCGGTGGGGAACGAACACGCGCTGTTGTCCTTACCGGGGAGCAGCGCACTTCACCACCACACCATCCGGGTTCTTCGTTTTGCCTGTCTCTCAGCTAGTTCTATCGACCTTTGGTCATCAGCAATCACCCGTCAACGGGATTGATCTGGGGGGCCCAAATCGGCAACGAACCCAGTTAAGCTGAGGCCGCAGTTATAATCATAATTTAACGTATTATTTACTGCCTATTCTTTTTAACGGCAGGGTATATATTGTGGAATATAGAACTAGCTGAGAGACAGGCAAAACGAAGGACCCGGATGGTGTGGTGGTGAAGTGAGCTGCTCCCCGGTAAGGACAACAGCGCGTGTTCGTTCCCCACCGCATACACCTGCGGTCCGGAGTTTTGCAAATATCTCAGCATCATTGAATTTATGGCTCAGTNTGAGGCCGCAGTTATAATCATAATTTAACGTATTATTTACTGCCTATTCTTTTTAACGGCAGGGTATATATTGTGGAATATAGAACTAGCTGAGAGACAGGCAAAACGAAGGACCCGGATGGTGTGGTGGTGAAGTGAGCTGCTCCCCGGTAAGGACAACAGCGCGTGTTCGTTCCCCACCGCATACACCTGCGGTCCGGAGTTTTGCAAATATCTCAGCATCATTGAATTTATGGCTCAGTTCAAGCAACCGCAGCGGTAAAACATCATGGAATGATATTTGCAGTTTTCATCATTTATGGAATGACCAATCTACGGGGGCAACGCTCGAAAATGGTGGAACAGTGGGAAGTTGTAATGAACCGAAGCAATCATCTATAAAATCAAGCATTCAACTAGACACAAGCGCCATCTTTTTCATTATACAAACGGCCATCGTTTTCACTGACGTGGAAGATGATAGCATATCACGAAATATGACTGTGTTTAAAAAGTCGCTTTAATCTAAGAATTGTGAGCGACCCGTACCAAAAAAGGAGCGGCTGAGTTCACAGCTTGAAGAATTCGAGTGATCAGAGTAGCCTTCTTGAGGAATTTTACTTCCTGTTTTCGCAAACGATTGATTTCCCTCTCGAATGCTTCTTCCCATGCGTACATCTTTACGACTGTAATACCGTGCACTACCTGGAATGTGTCGATTATTGTTCCGTTAAAAATAAATAAAAGGTTTTAACTGCTGAACGTTTAGCACTCTTTATGATGTTTCCGCGGCTTTGACAACTTGCTAGACTTTCGGAGTCAACGTTAAACTGAAACGTCGCTAAAGGATCCTGGGTAGAGTACAAACACAAAGGACAAAAGCATCCTAGGCAAAATACAAAGAGGATTTGTAGAACATTGCTGCGGCGTTTGCGCAAGTGTTAATTCGGAAAGGAGTCCTTCAATTTTGCTCTTCTTTTTCCTTTTTCTCAGCAGTCCTATTTTACTACATTGAGAAATTATTTAAAAATAAGGCGTCCGCCTTGAAAAATTCAAAAAGGATTTTACGACAACTTGCTAATTCCGAGAAACTCAGAGAGCACGTAAGTTAACCCTCTAAAATAGAAAACAATAGAAGCAAATTATCTTCTACGAAAAGTGCTCCCATCTTTCCTTCAATCTACTCAGGAAATGTCGTGAACGAGAGAGGCGAGTAGATTCCCTACTTGCCGTCACCCAGTCACTAGGTGATTACGAAGAAGATCTGCGACAGAAATGGGTAGTTTTTATAAACTTCAGATAACTGATCACAGAGGCGTTGTAGATAATAATGGCACTACAACTTCAAGCTTTGGTTATTTCTTTAATATGGTGGCTGCATTAATTAGGACAGATTTTTCTTCGCCAAATGATTTGACAAACTTGTCTACTTAGTGGCATTTCCTATTGTTTTAAGAATTTCCAGATTACGTGGGATGAAAAAGTTTGTTTTTTAATAAAATTGAAAATAAACTAGTTTTTGAAGAAAAATACCTCTTTAGTGAATTTAACACGGTTGTCCTTCACTAGCATTTGTTTTGCCTGAAAGTAGGTAGTACCTAGGGCCTACTATATGGAAATCCATTTCATTCTGTTAAAATGAATGCTCCGACTCTACTGGATACCAAAATACTTTTTGTTGAATCTCATACCTGTATTATTATTATATTTATATTATTATATTATTATTTATAATTATTATATTATTTATATTGAAATGATTGTGAAAAATTGTGGTTTGCTAGTAAAAGGTGAAAAATGAGGCGTTTGGCGTTGATCAATCCCGTAGCCACCAGGTATTAGACTTCATTCGTACCATTGTAGAGGTATTTGTAAGAATATTTCGCCCATACAATGAGTTGCAGTACCCTACAATTGTAGGTCAGTGCTTCTATCCTCCTAGTGAAGTCCGGTGCCAACTTGCCGACCACAGAGGAATAATAGGCTTGGTTAACTTGGGCCGTGGAACCGAACCCTACGCACGTGTATTGCACTCTTCCTCTGGCAACTGCGCTGCACGTGCTTTGGGTTTGCCAGTAGTGACCTTTAGTGCCAAAATAAAGTCCTAATGGGCGCGAATTCAAATAGTTCCATTTTAATAAATCCCTCTCTTCGACTTTTTTCACGAAACCTTAAGACATGCCAATAAAACATCGTTCAGTTGGAAAAACGTCTTACCTGATAGGAACTTATTATTGAAGAACAACAATAGTTGAACGGCACATAAAGTAGCATTATAATCATTGCGGCCAAGACCGGAGTTCCTATGGTAATGTAGATCAAGGACAGAGCGATGACAATCTGCATAAAGAGTTAGAATTCTTAATGTCATTACAGTATGGAAACAACCATTAGTGTTTTGTGCTGCAAAATGAAAAATATGACATTAACAGCAGGATTATCACAACAGGTTGAAAAAATAAAATAATTGAACAGCTTTACGTTTTTATTTATTCCGTGCTTTATATGTTTCAAAGAAACATCATCGTCATACTGCAGAGAGTACGAAAGAGTAGTGTTGACGTTCCTGGCGCCGTCATCTACCGGAATGAGGGACAATCGCCTTTTCCGCAAATGACTTTTCCAAAGAGAAAATTAAATAATCATTCATCATCGATAGCACCAGTGACGTCTCATAACACTTTTATCACCATCAAACGTGGTTTTTTTTTTTGCCAAATTTGAAATTTATGCCCTTTTGCATAAGATGCGGTTTGTCTGAGTTTATAGAGCTGTGCAGAAATGTAATAGCTCTGGACGATGCAAAAATGGTTTCGTAGCCGATTTGAGCTCCCAAGATCAATTCCGTCAACAGGTGATTGCTGATGGCAAAAGATCGATAGAACTAGCCGAGAGACAGGTGAAAGGAAGGACCCGCATGGTGTGGTGGTGAACGCGTTACTCCCCGGAAAGGACAATAGTGCGTTCGCTCCCCACCGCAGACACCTGCGGTCCGAAGTTTTGCTAATAGATATTTGCACATTTGTTATTTGCATATAGATATCTCAGCGCCATTGAAAGATAGAAAATGCTTTAAGGATGGTCATTGTTATTCTGATGACATACGAACCAATTCCAAGCTCACAATGAAATCATTTAGGTACGCCCTCTAATAGTATCCCTTCCATGGTCATCTCCACCTTTTACAGACAACATGAATACACCTTGTTTCAATTTCTCTACTATAAAGTTCTTTTTTCAGGAAGACGCCAAAAATGGTACTACAGTTCTTTGCATAATCAAGTGATTCCGGTCGAAATCCAAAATGCTGGACTAGTGAGAAAGTACAACACAGTTTCATTGAAAAAAAAAGAGAAACACGGGAATAGAGTCTCAAAGGCAATGAAAACGAAGACGGCGAAAGGTTAGCCGAACGAAACAATGTTTTCAACCTCGTGTAATCTCAACTATTCAAACGAGTCTCAAAATTTTTGTACGCTGTGCTGGTTCTGTGTAGTTGCTTAAAGTTATTAATTTATTCCCTTAACATAGTCGGTAATAGTCTACAAGAAGAGTAACTTGTTAGCGGAATTTTGTTCAGCACACTGCTCGATCATATATAAGCCAAATCAAAAAATCATAGAACTATCACGAAACTACAATATGATGTTTTTCTCACGCTCACAAATGGTAACCTGTCTGTCAGAACTTTCGTGACACTAACGAATATTATAAGAAAAAAATAAGAGTAACTTAATGATATTTTAAGACTAACAGCCATTACACCGAAACAGCAACATTCTATCATCATAACGACAAAGAGAAACGCTTGTAAAAGCGATGCCAACTCTGTGAAATCTCTCAGAGCTTAACTGAGTATTATCAGGCTCCCATTCAAAGCATCCGTCAGGTACTGTGGATCAAAGGAAACTTTCTTATTGCTGATCGGCTTTTAATTTCTTGGCTCTTAACTGTTAAGGGGTTGACTAACCTGCAAGCGGAGTCGAACTAACGACTACGTGCATAGCAAGGCTACCTAGTGTACGAAATGCTCGCAAAACGAAGAGACCAAAAGAATTTACAGTCGAAAAAATGATCATCGCTATATAAACTATCTAAGATTACAAAAATTTAGATCTGTTACATAAAATATATCTAGGCTGTGAGGAAGGCGAAATCGCCGAACTATCTTCCATCGACCAACAACGCCAGCAGCAAAGATAACAACAACAACAGCGACAACGAGGACCTATACCAACCTCGCATCAGCTCACCAAGACCTGTTTATATTTACTTACTTGATACTTGAACGACTCGTCCTCACTAGTTGTGCGGGCCCCCGCATAATCACCATTTTCCAGAGATTTGATCGTTAAGCCATTGTGGTTTCCAGCAATCCCGAGGACGGCCAAGCCAAAGTCTGCACCAGGTCGTCACGACGTCAGGCAGTCGCAGCCTTTGTGGATCGCAGGGAGATTTTTCACCATGAGACTTCGAAACCATGACAGTGGCGGATCCTGGTATCGGTTTACTCTTAGCTAGGCTTTCTGGTGGAAACGCCGGGTTCCTTCTCAGCCTGGGAGACCCTACCGGGGATACGATTCCCTCCGCTGTACATGGCAGTCGGACACCCAGGAAAGCTTCCCATCCACGACTAAGCGGTAAACCGTTGAGAGGTCAGTTTATAAGATTATATAAATAAATATATCAACTACTATGCCGAGGTTTATAGAAAGTCGGTCCTTTGAGTTCTCGAACATTATTTGCTGCCAGCAATTCTCCGAAAAATTGTGATTATGCTGGAGCCCGCACAACTAGTGAGGACGGGCCGTTCAAGTAGCAAGTATCAAGTATTTGCTGTCTACTACAATTTTTTCACAGTAGGGTATTATGCGAAATACAGCCACAACGACGCTGAGATATTTGAAGAATTCTGGAACCCAAGTGTCAGCGGTGAGGAGCAAACGCTCTAATAGCGCCGTGAGAAAATTGTAGTAGGCAGCAAATGAAAGGTTAACCTTGCGATTTCAACTACAGCCTCAGCTTAGTTGGGCTAAATGCCGATGTAGGCTCCACAGATCAATCCAGCTGACTGGTGATTGCTGGTGGCACTGATCGATACAAAACTAGCTGAGAGACAGGCGAAACGAAGGACCCGCATGGTGTGGTGGTGAACACGTTAGCCCTCGGAAAGGGTAATGGCGCGTTCGTTCACCACCGCGCCTAGCTGTGGTCCGGAGTTTTTCATACATCTCAAGACCGTTGTAGTTGTGTTGAGCCACGCACATTATATCACTCAAGGAAAACAGTCGAACAAGAACATCAGGAGCGACAATTTCGACGTACCATCAATTCACATAGTGGTGAACGATACTTTGAGTGATCTAGTCGGCAGAGCTCCAGCGGAAAAGTTGGAAAAAAAAGCCACAGACGACTTAGGGAGACTCGATAATGGAGAATTTTGCGTTCTCCCTTACAACTTAGCACTTGCCCTGCCATCTCAATTTTCCACTGCAGTTGGTCTACTCCAATTAGAATTGATACATAGTGTTCATTTCCGATTAAAATGTGAAATATCTTAAAAACTGACATTAAGTGAACCTCGCCAACAATAAAGAATAATTTCCTGTGTGACTCAGCTGACACGAGTTTGGCATAAAAATGGCATAAAAACTTTTAATTGGCTAATGAATGTCGGGTTTTAAAATACTGCCACGCCACGCCAAGTGACGGAAAATAAAGCTCCGACTGCTACAGGATGCCTTCCCGTAGATGGCTAGATCATATTAGATGGAGGTTATCAACGGACATCAGACCTCTATAAAAGGGAACTGCCGCACAAGATTTCCCATTTGAGCGATGCTCTCTCCACTCGATTCGACTCGATGCAACTGCGAACAGCCACATAGCAAAGATGAGCAGCTGTAGACCATAGGCACGGATCAACACGGCTCTGAGGAAGGCGAAGGCTCCGAAGTGTTAGTGGAAAAGGAATTCTTTTATACCTATGTCGTCTCAGCTCAATCATGAGGAAAGTTACAAAATGTGAAATTCTGTGTTTTATAAGAAAAAAATAGAATGAAAACTTTTTTGTATAACAAGCAATTAAGTGTAGTCGAACCTCCAGTACAGACGACCACGCATGATGAGCAAATGGGGCAGCAGCCGCAAGTGCTTCCGCATCCACCGTCACCAAATTCACTACACGAGAAGATGGCCATTCCGCTCGAGACGAACTGGCAAGGTGAAGGCTCTATATGGAACAGTAATAACTATGAAAATAGTGATGGAAAAGGAATAATTTCCGTTACTATCTAGAAAATCTGCAGTACTAAGTGATAGTAATTTGGACTATACTTTTCAAGAAAACTTTGAGGTGCTTGACAGCTAGTTTATAATTAATGCGTTTTATTCTTTATTTTCTATTAGGCTATCAGTCAAAAAGTAAAAAGTCATTGATCTGATGAGAAACATTTGGTGTTGGAAGTTTGAGAAAACTTGTGGATGTTTAGAGTTGGGATAAATCGCCGCTTAGCCGAGTGTAGAGCTCACACTCCTTTATATTCTTCCATATGCACGTATACTAGTCGTCTATCTCAGCAAAAGATTACAATCTAGGAAGGTGTGAGAGACAGAGAGGCACAGGATCATACCGAACGGAAAGGCCTCCAGTTTAGCCTAAAGAACCTGATCAACTACCCATCAATATAGTATTTCTCTCCAAAAAACAGCAAACATGAACGATATTATGCTTGCAACATTGGAAAAACCTTTGTTGCCCCAAAATTGGGAAGCAGGGCTTAGGGTCTCCTTAAGCTGGCAAAATCTGAAACAATTAGAAAAAGGGCAAACACCAGCAACTGATGGGAGCAACTATGTCGTACTTTCCGAATAGACGATGTCTCCACTAGTCCAAGGTTTAATGTTTATTTTGGCGGTCACCTTCCCCGTGCAAACCCATTTTCTTTCCATTATGGAGAAAAAAACCCGGCATCCAGAAAAAAGTGGTTTCCAGTAAAACACAAAATTGGGATGTTGGTACTCTTATATCCAGTTTTTAAGGATTTTGCATTGATGAAAAAATTGATAGGGAATTCGACTGGTTTTTTCAGCACCTTCATGATTGTGCGAAGAAGACGAGAGTAAGAAATGGATCAAAAGTTTTCTTTTAAAAGCCTTCATGACGACATGTCATAACGGAGATGAAGAAGCCATGGACAACTTCCATTAACACATGAGCCTACAAAGTTCTACAAAGAAAGACAGAATACCAACTTTAAGAATAAGTATGGAGCAGCAGCGCTATCGAAACTGTACCAGTTGCAAATGTGACCCACATGAACTGAACAAGTCAATTGTTTTTACAATAGTTGCTGGATAACAGCTGTTAATTAACGCTTTCAATACATGTAAAGTACACAGCAGGAAGACCACCGACCCGAAAGTCGAACTTCTTCACGAAAAATCCAGACGGGAAACCCCATGTTCTTCATGTCCCTCAAGCAAGAAAAACCAGCGAGTAACTCTAGGAAATAAACTGAGACCAATGGTGATGTTTCTAAAGCACACTCGATTCACTGGATTACTAATTCGAAGAGATGGGATGCAAAACGAGAGTTTCTATAAATTTCCAAGACCTGTCTTTCACATCTACTGCGCCTCCATCATTCTTTAAAAATTTTAGACTCCAAAAAAGTCACTTTTCTCGAAATTGAGTTGATGATGAGACTGAGCGCGGTTGAAGCGTCCCGCACAACGAGATAGTTGTGAACTCCTAAACAACATGAAGTTTTTTTAAGTTCAAAGAATAAAATGGAACAAAAACAGACTAAAAAAATTTTTAAGTTTTATCAAATTATTTTATCTTCACAAAAAAACTTAACGACTTTTCATGGTTACCTAAAAGTACCGACTTCATTTCAGCACAAGCGAACATAATAACGCAGATGGTGAGACACTTAGTCAAAGGTGCTGGAGACGACGTAGCGTCTATTAACATTCTGTAAAAATAATTTGTTCATTTTCTCTACCAGTATGCCTGAAAAAAAACGAAGAGTTCTTATCCCTGTTCTAAGCACTCTATTTTTCTAAACCTTACATGACTCGCATTTCATCTACAGTACAGATCCTGGCACTTCCACTTGATTCGTTTTCCTCTTATTGTCTCGGCTGCTGCCTGAGGATTTAGTCTTTCTTATAAATGCCGTAGAATGCTGGTCGATTTAATTTTTCTTGGAATTTTGATGACATCTCAGAAAAGGAGTTCTCATGTGAAATGGCAAGAGCGTTGAGCAGGGAGTCGAACTAGCGCATTTATTTCCTTATCGACGGCATGTCTGACCACTGCGGTAAACTTTCAAACAAGGTTCTGCAAGTCCTTTGTACTTCAGTCATATTTTCAGTCTAAATTTGATTAAATATAAAATAATTAGACTGCAGTATAACCAAGTTTAAGACATCCATTGTTTTCTAAAGCTCAATAGTAATATTCGCTGAAAATCGGCTTGACTAATTGCTTTTTCGTTGAATAGTGAATGTTTCTACCAATGTCTCCGCTGTTCCATGTCGTCTACCGCACTTTTTCAGTAGATTCTCTTAGCACAAGCGCCAAAAAAAAGTGGGCTGCGGGCCAGTACCATCGTGAAGTTCAAAGGCAGCGCGACGATGGTCGTCTTACTGTGTACAAATCCGATGGGACCGAGGCAGCAACGATTTCTCTCTTCTTTACATCAAACGATAATTATTTATTGCCAGCAGCGATTTATCAAGCATGGGAACTGACTCCTTTGTTGTGGCATATTCCGTGGAAGAGCGATAACGGCTGAACCTGTTGATGCTTGGAAGTCCATTCACAATTCCCGCAACGAGCTTTCCAATAACGAAACTAACATGATCATTTTTCTAAATTTAAACAGAACACAGAGCGGCGATGGAAAATTCGTTATCGGTTATCGTTATCGTTATGGGCCTGCTATTAATTTCGCAAGCTGGAGGGTCGAGAGGCTTGATGAGCGCGAAGCAGAGTCGAACCAGAATCACGATCGTGGTTAACGACATCACTACCACTGCTCTACTCGCTTTTACAGGTTATATGAGCGAATTAAAAAAACCAACAAGAACATATCGTACTTTAGCAGTAACGGACTCATGTACTCGAAGACCTCGGCGAACAGTTTCGCGACAACAGCGCCGAAGATAGACCAGCGATAAGTTACCAATAACTTCGGTATAATTTCGTCTCGCGGCCCTGGTTGACAAAATCTGCACTTTTCATTAACGTGACATTGACTTAAAAAAGTGGTTAGATTACCGAATTTCCAACTTTTTAACAGATTTATCGACCGATACTTCTGCTTCAGTGGTGTCAGATCGTCGTATATGAGCGTCTTCTTTGATCCTGAGCTCGATGCCAATTAAACACTAGAAGTATGACCGAGCAACTCGCATTTCTTTTCTGCTTTTTTCAGCTTCTTTCTCTATGCTAAGCAGCTTATCAGTGGTGAATTTATAAAAGCCAAGTTCACAATAAGAATAACGAGAAAATTGTGAACGTAAACCTTTTTTAAGAAGAGGACTAAGCCAAATGAAAAAAAGATTTGAGAGGAACGATCGCTTCACATCGAGCACAGAGATATTCGATTGCGATGTCCGGCTCACTTCCGACAATGCCTTGCCATGCCGTGACAAAGCCAGCACTGTAATTGGTTTTATCTCCAAGAACATCTCTCCAATCGGAACAATTGGTAAAGAAAGGGAAAGTCATCAAAAAAAAATTTTCACGCAGAAAATTTCCGACAATGTTGTGCGAAAAGTAATAGGTTTTTCGACTTAGTTTCACTTTTTTGCACAAGCGGTTTCCCTGTTAGGTTGAAATAATCTAAGTTACTGAAATGAAAAATAAAAACGGGGTGCTATGAAACTGAAGCGGCTTTTACACGAATACAAATTTTGATGAAAGGACCCTAATTTTTCTGGGGAACCGCCTACGAGTCTCCAGTACAGCTTTGTTTTAACAGTTTCCGAATTTTGATGAAAACCTTGAGAAAGTTGAGCTTCGTTAATGAGAATAACAAATCTCAGCCTTCTATGATGGTCATTTGGAGACGTCAGCTGAAGTAGTTCCAATAACGACTTGAAAGCCTTCTTTAGCATTACGTTAGGTTAAGCGCCGGTTTCGGAACAGCAGAGTGGAGTAGCGACGTCAAGAAATTCAGTATAGCATAAATAGTCTGACAAGAACACAGTGTCGTTTTCATTTTCAGCAATCACGAGATTTTTATACAGCATACGTTTAATTCCGTGCAAAAAACACATACAGCACAACAGTAGCTGGCGTTTCGGCAGCATCGCCTTCTTCAGAGCCTGAAAGTGTGCATGAGTTGCATATCAGTGTACCCTTCCAGGATCTGAAAAAGGCTATATGGCCGAAACGTGAGCTACTGTTGTGCTGTATATACTTTTCACGGAAGTAAGCGTATGATGTCTAACAACCTCGCGATTGCTAAAAAAATAGAAAGTCAGTTCTGAGAACTGCTACAAGATGTACCAACATACAGTGTCTTTATTAGTTATGTTCTGAGGCTTTTTTGTAACAAATTAAAATAAAAATTAACTAATGGTCTACCACCTCATTGTAGTGAGGTGTTCCATCGTGTGGTGGCATTGAATTGGAGTTCATCATTTTTTAGTCGTCAAAAGTGCATTTCATTTTCCGCGAACTTTGTCAAACAATTCTTGATGGTGTTTAAATGATAGTTCATGTTATGAGAATTGACATCTCGAAGGTGTACCAAGTAATGCTGAATGGTTTACACCATTGTGAAATGATCAACTCACTGCTCATCGTCTCAGGTCATCAGAACAGTAGAAATCAGAGTCAAATGAGCTAGACAGAGGAGATTACTGAATAGAAACGCAGAAGGTACGACGTTGTATGCAGCTGTATTTCAACGAGACAGAGAACAATGATTTATGGCAAATTTGAATACATACTTGTTGGGCAATAATCGCATCGTATGCTTTGCATAATATTATGCCATTCCACTTCACCATCGCTGAAAGCAGTCAAAACATGAACTCCACCACCGAGTAACACTATGCAAGTCGTCATTAGGATAGAGAGTAAGAAGTCGATCTTGCTGAGTTGCTATCCAACCAGACGTCTGAGGGATAATGTGATCTTACGTCAATTTTATTTTTTTTTTTCTTTTCGCACATGAATCAGCATCTTGTGTTCTGATGCTAACCCTTCTTTCGCCGTCACACATCCATTGTTGACAAAGGTCCACTTCCGCACTTGCGTGTCTTAGGCTGCCACTAGGGATCCTTTTTCTTCATGAATACGTTGAACAACGATGGATTTTAATTGTCATTTCGCCCTGGAATAGTTCTACTAATGCATTCACAGCTGTTCCCAAGAGTCACCGACTTTTGGGGACCTGGTACCAAATTGTCTGACACGTAGGGAGGGGAGGCCAGATTGGTACGAAGCACTATCGTGATGAAAACTATGCTTGCATTGCTCTGCATCTCTAACCACTGTTCCTCCTACGTCTGGTTATATCAGCGAAGACAGAGAAGAAGAATAGAGTTCTCCCTTGGAGAGTAGTCATCTAAGCTTCGAAAATGACGTCGATTATCGGATGATCGGTTAAAATTCTCAAGTAGTAAAATTCTAGTAAAATAAAAAAAATAGTAAGTAGTAAAATAGTAAAATTCTTCTCAAGGATGTCGTAATATTGACACATATTCTTTCACCTATAAAAGAATTCTGAGTCTTTTAGAACAACAGTTATGAAAAATTTGTAGAAATCCAAAGACGATCATTTCACGCATGAATTTAAAATCCTCCAAAAACGCTGATGTAATACAGTTTCTGTTCCGTCGCCATAAGATGTAAGGTGTGAGACATCTCTACAAGAACGGAATTTTTTTGTAAGTATCAGTCGTGTTTACAGCAGAGTTAAGCATCATCGCTCTGTGTAAAAGAGCACCTCAGAATGAGTATGGCTCATCCTAGAGATGGCCCACTAGGGAAGATCCACATCAATGCGAAGACGAAGACGCCACATCGAGAAGAACAACTGTGGACCATCGACTTGGATCATCGGCTCTGATAAAGAGGAAGACGCCGTAACGTTAGCCAAATAAAAAACATTTAACAACCTCGAATAACATATCAGAGAAAGATTGCATATGATAGTTAGGACTCTTAATATTGTTGATATCGCCTTTGTTATTTTTATTGTAACACTTTATACTTACATGCAAAAACACACATACAACACAACAGCAGCTGACATTTCGGCAGTAACGCCTTCTTCATTGCCGCTTTCACGCGGAAATTTCCAGCGAGGAAGAACCCAGAGTCGCATATGGTTTAATGGCATACGCATGTGGTTTCCTATACCTTATAGTCCAGTGCTGAGATTAATAGAAAGTCGATCCTGGGAACACTTTTTACAGTTCACCTTTACTTCAACGAAAACCTAAGATTATAGGCACCTCACCAAGTCTTTATCTCCCATTAGGTTTTGGTGGCCCTGACCCATTCTTTGCTGATTTAGAAAGACAAATTTGATTTAGTTCTAAAATACCGCATTTCTGCACCTCCACTGCGTTGTATTACTTCACCCACAACGAATACGACGGCATCTCTTACACACCTCATAAACAGCACTGTTGCAACGTCAAATATCGGATGGCTGGGTATCAATGTCTTTAGCGATGAAGATTATTTTACCACCTTTACCTCCCGTAAGCTCAAAATACACGAAAATGTTGATTATTATCGTATCACCTGTAGTCCGGTTGATCGTCGAGTGACACGAGCGGGTCCCAGTAAAACTTTCGTTTTTGCCACAGTGTGCAAGAGTGGCCCAGTGGGTTCTGTTTGCTCTAAGGACTCGTCGAGTATCATATCTTTCTTCTAGGCTCTTCGTGAAGAACTCTGACCATCGACCAGTGGTCTCCCTGCAGTATGTTTGATATCCCGAGGAA